GGATATTGTTTACATAGAGATGTGGTTGGATATTGTTTACATGTGGTTGGATCTTGTTTACATAGAGATGTGGTTGAATCTTGTTTACATAGAGATGTGGTTGGATATTGTTTACATAGAGATGTGGTTGGATCTTGTTTACATAGAGATGTGGTTGGATATTGTTTACATAGAGATGTGGTTGAATCTTGTTTACATAGAGATGTGGTTGGATCTTGTTTACATGTGGTTGGATCTTGTTTACACAGAGATGTGGTTGGATATTGTTTACATAGAGATGTGGTTGGATAATGTTTACATAGAGATGTGGTTGGATCTTGTTTACATAGAGATGTGGTTGGATATTGTTTACATAGAGATGTGGTTGGATAATGTTTACATAGAGATGTGGTTGAATCTTGTTTACATAGAGATGTGGTTGGATAATGTTTACATAGAGATGTGGTTGGATATTGTTTACGTGTGGTTGGATCTTGTTTACATAGAGATGTGGTTGAATCTTGTTTACATAGAGGTGTGGTTGGATCTTGTTTACATGTGGTTGGATATTGTTTACATAGAGATGTGGTTGGATATTGTTTACATAGAGATGTGGTTGGATATTGTTTACATAGAGATGTGGTTGAATCTTGTTTACATGTGGTTGGATATTGTTTACATAGAGATGTGGTTGGATATTGTTTACATAGAGATGTGGTTGGATATTGTTTACATGTGGTTGGATCTTGTTTACATAGAGATGTGGTTGAATCTTGTTTACATAGAGATGTGGTTGGATATTGTTTACATGTGGTTGGATCTTGTTTACATAGAGGTGTGGTTGGATCTTGTTTACATAGAGATGTGGTTGGATCTTGTTTACATAGAGATGTGGTTGGATCTTGTTTACATAGAGATGTGGTTGAATCTTCTTTACATAGAGGTGTGGTTGGATCTTGTTTACATAGAGGTGTGGTTGGATCTTGTTTACATGTGGTTGGATCTTGTTTACATAGAGATGTGGTTGAATCTTGTTTACATAGAGGTGTGGTTGGATCTTGTTTACATAGAGATGTGGTTGGATATTGTTTACATAGAGATGTGGTTGGATAATGTTTACATAGAGATGTGGTTGAATCTTGTTTACATAGAGATGTGGTTGGATAATGTTTACATAGAGATGTGGTTGGATATTGTTTACATGTGGTTGGATATTGTTTACATAGAGATGTGGTTGGATATTGTTTACATAGAGATGTGGTTGGATATTGTTTACATGTGGTTGGATCTTGTTTACATAGAGATGTGGTTGAATCTTGTTTACATAGAGATGTGGTTGGATATTGTTTACATGTGGTTGGATCTTGTTTACATAGAGGTGTGGTTGGATCTTGTTTACATAGAGGTGTGGTTGGATCTTGTTTACATGTGGTTGGATCTTGTTTACATAGAGATGTGGTTGAATCTTCTTTACATAGAGGTGTGGTTGGATCTTGTTTACATAGAGGTGTGGTTGGATCTTGTTTACATGTGGTTGGATCTTGTTTACATAGAGATGTGGTTGAATCTTGTTTACATAGAGGTGTGGTTGGATCTTGTTTACATGTGGTTGGATCTTGTTTACATAGAGATGTGGTTGGATAATGTTTACATAGAGATGTGGTTGAATCTTGTTTACATAGAGATGTGGTTGGATAATGTTTACATAGAGATGTGGTTGGATATTGTTTACATGTGGTTGGATATTGTTTACATAGAGATGTGGTTGGATATTGTTTACATAGAGATGTGGTTGGATATTGTTTACATGTGGTTGGATCTTGTTTACATAGAGATGTGGTTGAATCTTGTTTACATAGAGATGTGGTTGGATATTGTTTACATGTGGTTGGATCTTGTTTACATAGAGGTGTGGTTGGATCTTGTTTACATAGAGATGTGGTTGGATCTTGTTTACATAGAGATGTGGTTGGATCTTGTTTACATAGAGATGTGGTTGAATCTTCTTTACATAGAGGTGTGGTTGGATCTTGTTTACATAGAGGTGTGGTTGGATCTTGTTTACATGTGGTTGGATCTTGTTTACATAGAGATGTGGTTGAATCTTGTTTACATAGAGGTGTGGTTGGATCTTGTTTACATGTGGTTGGATCTTGTTTACATAGAGATGTGGTTGGATCTTGTTTACATAGAGATGTGGTTGAATCTTGTTTACATAGAGATGTGGTTGGATATTGTTTACATAGAGATGTGGTTGGATATTGTTTACATAGAGGTGTGGTTGGATCTTGTTTACATAGAGATGTGGTTGGATATTGTTTACATAGAGATGTGGTTGGATCTTGTTTACATAGAGGTGTGGTTGGATATTGTTTACATGTGGTTGGATCTTGTTTACATAGAGGTGTGGTTGGATCTTGTTTACATAGAGATGTGGTTGGATATTGTTTACATAGAGATGTGGTTGGATCTTGTTTACATAGAGGTGTGGTTGGATATTGTTTACATAGAGATGTGGTTGGATCTTGTTTACATAGAGATATGGTCAGTTTTTCTTCCAGACTTTTTTCTCAGGGGGGGGCACTTGAAATTTTTGGGGGGGGGGGGGGGGGGGCGGTAGACTTTCTTCGGGGGGGGGGGGGGGGGCGAACACTGTTAAAAGTATATGTTTTCTATATAAATTATATAAATTTCATTTCGTTCGGGCGGGGGGGGGGCGGGGCTTCACCCCCCCCCCCCCCCGAAGAGATGCCTGGAAGAAACTCTGGATATGGTTGAATCTTGTTTATTTGGAAATGTAGGAGTATCTTGTTTACACAGAGATGTGGGTTGATCATGTGGGTGGATTTTGTTTACAAACAGATGGAGTTGAATCTTGTGCATTAATCGTAATGATCAGTGGCGTAGCGAGGTTGGGTGTCACCTGGTGCGGCACTTAATGGTGTCACCCCCCCCCCCCCCCCCAGAGGCGTAGCGACCCTTCCTGGGGACAAACTTTCAATTTTCGATATGCACCGCCCCCTCAAACTTTCGATATGCACCCTCCCCCCTCAAACTTTCGATTTGCTCTGCACCCCCCCCCCCCTCAAACTTCCGATTTGCACCTCTTAAAACACTTAACACTCAAATTAATCACTTAATTAAGCGGAATTATCATTTTTTTTCTCTATATATTTTGCTATTTTTTGCCTTGGTGTCACCACCCCCCCTAAATGGTGTCACCCGGTGCGGTCCGCACCCCCCCCCTCGCTACGCCTCTGTTAATGATCATTTTTCCTTCAACTTTTAGCTTGTAGGACCAGTTAGACATCCGGACGAAGGTACAGCAAACCCTTATCACGATACATATCGCTGAGCCATGTATGGTTACCACGTGAGCTAAACAAGAATGGTTTCTGTCCACACTGCTTATAACCTAGTAGTTGACTGGCTGATGCCTGGAATTCCTAAAGCCAAGCAAGGCTTTGCAAACCTGCACAAAAAATTTAATGGCGACATGGCGAAAAAAAAACTCGTTCAGGAACAAATGCAGATTTTTCAAAAGTTATTTCCTTAGCATCCTACTGTATGGCAGCGAATGCTGGAAAGTAACAACCGCTGTCAGTAGATCACTGGACTCTGTCCAAACTAAGTGCGTGTGAAGGACAAAAGGCATCCACTGGCCCAACACCAACTCCAATGATAGATTAGTTGCAGAAATGGAACTGGAATAGAATCCCGAAATAATGGAATACGGTAAAGAGGATGGTGGGTAACCTTTTAAGGATGATTTCCGATGATACAACAGAAATGGCGCTCAACTAGGAACCTCCAGGAAGAAGTAAGCACTGAAGGTCAAGGGTGGAGGAAGAAAAACAAGCACGACTATCACGACTAGAGCAAGTCTATCTCGGGGACTGACTAGAGCAAGTCTATCTCGGGGACTGACTAGAGCAAGTCTATCTCGGGGGACTGACTAGAGCAAGTCTATCTCGGGGGACTGACTAGAGCAAGTCTATCTCGGGGGACTGACTAGAGCAAGTCTATCTCGGGGGACTGACTAGAGCAAGTCTATCTCGGGGGACTGACAAAAGCAAGTCTATCTCGGTGGACTGACTAGAGCAAATCTATCTCGGGGGACTGACTAGAGCAAATCTATCTCGGGGGACTGACGGGAACATTGTCAGAGATCGAGAAAAGTGGAAAGAGCTTTCTGTGGCCGCTCCATGTGTCTTGCGCACAAAAGGGAAAATATGATGATCGTTCAAAATGTCAATAGCGTTTAGTTTGCATACTACCTTAAAGTTACATTTAAAATGTCTATTAGGGACATAGGCGTAGCGAGGGGGGGGGGGGGTGCGGACCGCACCGGGTGACACCATTTAGGGGGTGTCACCAAGGCAAAAAATAAATATATACAGAAAATGATAATTTCACTTTTCGCCACTGCTTACAAGTGTAATATGGAACATATATATATATATATATATATATATATATATATATATATATATATATATATATATATATATATATATATATTTATTTATTTATTTATTTATTTATTATTTTTTTTAATTTTTAAATTTTTTTTTTTTACTATGACAAAGCATGTTTGCTGTCTGCTATGTCATGAATTAAGTAGATTTTGTTCAACTATTAAATGCAACAAAGACTTCATTTCTTCATTTATATATATATATATATATATATATATATATATATATATATATATATATATATATATATATATATATATATATATATATATATATATATATATATTTATTTAATTTCTTTTTCTTACGGGGGGGGGGGGGGGGTGACACTATCAGGTGCCGCACCGGGTGACACCCGATCTCGCTACACCACTGGTTAGGGCTTATATTTTTCACATAATCTATGTTATATACAACAAGAACTACATAAGTCTAGACGTTATTTAACATAAGTAGCTAGGCCCTAGGCCCTAACCAGATTCCCAGCCTAGGCCTACCGTAAACAGGTTCGATAACCAGTAGGAGGCTAGCCTAGATATCAGCGAGCTGAATATGCTAGACTAATATCCCTTTGCAAGAAATCTACTTCCGGAATAATATTTGTACAAAGATCGTTTGCCGCCATAGTTTTTCATACATTAAAATAGAAGTGTTTCACAATCCGATCCATCATGAAGCTCGTGAGGTACATCTGTTAACATAAAAACCTATTTCATTTCCTTTCAATATCAAATTAATACAAACTGTGTGTATTTTGTTAGAATAAACAAATTATCGATAACTGGTTAACCGGTTTTTAATAGTGCAAATAGTTAATAGTTTGATCTAGATTTCCTAGAATAGCTTCTAAACTTAGAATTTACATTTCTAGTCGTCTAGACCCTCTTTACATCTAGATCTAGATTGTGGAAATATACTTTATCATATAGGCCTACTGTTGTAAGCTGTCATTGCACTGAAGCAATAGATTAATAGTAATATTATTAGGTTGAATAGGGCAGGTCAAAACTCCATTTTATGATTTTAGTTTTGGTGTTAGATCTAGATCTCTAGATCTAGTCTAGATGACAGATGATAGTCTATATCTAGGCCTATTTTTATTCAATATACACCTATTCACCTCCGGTTGAGCGTATTTTAATTTATTATTATAAACACAACTGAAACCCACAAAAATAATTAGATAACAACACAAGGATTAGCTCTAGAAATCTAGATCGGTTAACTCCATTTTAGCGTATTTTATTCTCCGCTTCTTGTTTACCTCCAGTTGAACGTATTTTATTATAACAACCGAAACACACCAAAACATTAGGAAAACACGATTTATTTAAACTATTTTAAACAATGCAACCGTTGACCTAATTTTACGCTCAATTACACCAGCATTAGCCTCCAGCTCCCCCAACGCCTTCTGCTTTATAATTATCATACGTCATAGCTATTTGAAATTATGGTGATGTCAGTTTTGGAGTCACTGAGTTCATATAAGTTAGGATTGCTTGCTACCCTGGGGGACTGGCTGGTTGCTAACAACAATATGGCGTACACTACAGACCGGATGCATAACTTCTGATGATTTTTGTCTTAGTTCCAGTGACCTTCTTAGAATTACTTTTTAAAATGTTTACCATGAGCAAAATAGCGGGTTTTTACGTTATAAAAGCAAGTTATATTGGCTTGTGAATAGAGACTAAAATACCTTTCTCGCTTGGGCACTTTACTAGATTTTCATGGTTATCAAATACCTAATTTAAAAAATACGTATCATGTAGATACAAAATCACTTAAACTCAAAACAACATGAAACCAAAGTTAATGCCTAAATTAATATTGAAATCCACTTTTAATTTGTGATCAATACCATTAAAATGTATTTGTGGGTGTTGACAAAATGTGAGACATGCGTGAAATCTGTCATCTCCAAAACATCTTGCAGAGTAATGGAATAAGACTATGATTTGGCACTAGGCCCTGTCTAAGTCTAGAAATATAAGTACAATTTTACCTCACCCTGTTAGCAGATTATTGAATTCTCTTACTTAATCATGTGAGGCCCCTAGTTGTGCTTAGGGCTCCATCTACGGATATCCACTGGACTCAGTTCTGTATAGCGCTTTTCAGTTGGGTCCATGTTAGTCTTAATTCTGCAACCCTTGCTTGATATTTGTGCAGCATGTTCTTAGTCTGCCCACTTTTCTTTTTCCCTGTGGACTTAGACTAGTGCCTGTTTGTTGATGTTTATTCCATTTCTTTCAATTTATGCCCAGTCCATCCCTACACGTCTATAGCACTGATTCCTTTTCTGCTTACTTCACCTTTTAACTTCTAGACAGCGACACATTTCTCTTGTGCTCAATCCTAAGAAAAGGGGCTGTACTCTTTAAAATCTAACCTAAATATAAGGTGGGTCATCAACAACAAACATTAAATTTTTTTTAAACAAAAGAAAAGTGGACAACACATTTATTTAAATATAAATGAAGAAATGAAGTCTTTGTTGCATTTAATAGTTGAACAAAATCTACTTAATTCATGACAGAGCAGACAGCAAACATGCTTTATCATAGTAATTCCCATCTTGAAAAATACACGTCTGTATATCAGCTAATATTTATTAAGGGGTGAAAAAATCTAACTTCTTAATTAATAAGTTTTATTTGTGTGTATCTAAGTTAGGTAGGCCTAATTATCTTTTCTATAAAGAAAAATTTACCAAATTTTATATTGTAAAATACCATGATAAATTTAATGGATTTTACCATTCAAAAAAATTGTAGTTTTCTGTTACAAAAACTAGCCAGCAGACTTGATTAGTTAGTAAAAGAAGGATCAATGATCGTATAATCAATATACATGTTTTTCTTTTAACCTTGAGGCCTTCACTAAAGTTTTTTTTCAAGAAGATTCCTGTATACTTTGCCACAAATTTAAATCTGCTTCCCTAATTTTCAGAAAATCAAATGGCTAAACCTACATGAATAATTTTTATTTTATCTCTCACATTTTAAGGTTTCTCATGAAGCTTAGTCATGAAACAGTCACCATAGAGTTGAAAAATGGAACACAAGTTACAGGAACAGTTACAGGCAAGACATTAACCTCAATCAGATTTTAGGCTATTTAAAAAAATAGTGTATTCTTCAAGATAAATTAAAATATAATCTGGATGTGTACATTGTTGCTTCTTAATTAGTTGTATTCCATATTACTCTGTGGTGCTGGTACTTTGCTAACTGAACCCTTCTGTTAATACAGGTGTTGATGTGAGCATGAACACACATTTAAAAGCAGTAAAGCTTACTGTAAAAAATAAGGAAACACAACAGTTGGATTCATTAAGTATTCGTGGTAACAACATACGTTATTATGTTCTGCCTGAAAGTTTGCCCCTTGACACTCTGCTTATTGATGATGCTCCACGTTCAAAAGCTCGTGGGAAGAGGGAGGGAGGAAAGCGTAAGTACCTTGTACTTGTATAAAGTTTTTAAAGATTTTATTAAATTAATTAATTAGTGTGTTAATATAATTCTAACCATAAAATATTTTATGAGCTGTTTTTTTTACTATCTCTATCAAAATTGCATTGGAAGTTATTAAAGCAAGCTTAGTGAGAATTATTTTAAACAGTTAGCAGTGGAGTCACTATGTCAGGTGTCACCTGGTGGGGCATCTCATGGTGTCAAACACACAAACACACCCAAAAAAGGTATAAGCTATATATGAAAGCTTTGGTTGCTCACAAGATTTTTTACATATTTATTGACAAAAGCTTTTTATTAAGGAAAGCAAATTTGCTTTATTTTCTTATTTTCAGTGCATTTAAAAGCTTTTTGCTATAAAGGTTTTTTGTTTTAATCTATTTATATTTTTCTATATTTTTACTAAGTGTCACCCCATAAATGGTGTCACTCTGTGCAGTTTGCACCTCCTGCCTGGCGACGTCTGATTGTTAGTTAAATTGCATTCTATTGAGTCATTAATGCCATAAGCTTACACTTTGGGATTCGATTCTTACCTTAGGCTGGCGCTTATATTTAAATAGATTTTCACTCTACACTAATGTAGTACAAAGTAGTAAAGAACTTTTATTAAAACTTTTCAACATTCTTTTAATTCTTTTTTGTCCTTTCCATTTTTTCCCTTAATAATTTATTTGTCTTTACACTTCTCAGTGCCAGACATTTATGGGTCTCCCTATTTTCCTCTTGATCCTTGTGGATTCCATGAAATGATGTGTCTTGTCGGATAATATTTATTGCTGATTTCTTCAAAGTTTCTTCAACTTTCACTACTACCGGCTAACTATTTCTGAATATTTTATAAAATGAACTGTATTAAAGTCAGTTATGCTTTTGTTTGGACTTCAGCAAATCCAATCAGTATTCTTTATGAATACATGTTCACTTTAGCTGCTTAATTGGGGCTTTAAAGAAATTTACCTTTCAATAGTTTCAAAAAATAATTTTCGGACTGTTGGTCACATTAAAATGTTGAGTTATTTGCTGATTTTCTTCTTATTACTATATCTGCATTTATATTTTAAATGTCTAATATCCATGAATTTTATTGAGTGTTCTTATTTTTCAGGTTTGTGTATTATAATTTTGAAAACTTCCATAATTCTCTACTTGTTTGTCTTTTCAGCTGCACTAGGTGGTAGAGGAAGAGGAAGAGGTGGGCCTAGAGGACGAGGCAGGGGTGGGCCAAGAGGTGGTGGTGGTGGTGGAGGAGGAGGTGGGGGTGGCCGTGGTGGTGGGCCAAGAGGTGGAAGGAGGTAAAGCAGCTAGATCATGTAGAAAACTTCTTCCTGTTAAAATATTTCATTCCCCTTACATATGTAAATAGTTCATGGGGATCAAACAGAATGTTTGTATAGTATTTTTTTTTAGTTATTGTGCTTAATTGTATTTCTTGTACACTGTAATTGGTGAAGAAATTTTTTTATCTTAAATGTTTTGTTTTAGTGCACAGTACTTGCACTCTTCATTTTAACACATTCTGACTTTTAATTTCATTCTTAAATACATGTTTGAGATGCATGAACGTTGAATGAATGATTATGGTACATTGTGACTTTTTTAAAGGAAATTTCCAGTGTTGTTTAAATAAAATGTTGGAATTGAATTTTTTATGTATTTTTATTGCAATACTTGACAAAACAAGGGTTTTGATTAAAAACTTTATTTTATTGTTAATCCCTGTTACTAACAGTTTGAACAGGCAAGAAAAATACAACTATACTGTGATTTAATTTTACCTTTGTATATACTTTATTAAATTGACAACATGCACACAAAACTTTCTAAGAGTAAAAAGTCCATGGGACTGCATAAAGCCTGTGGTTATTCATAGTAACTTTTAAAACTAGACCTAAGCACCTAACAGATTGAAATGACAATGGCAGAGCGACTCTGGCCTAAAGTTCTTTAGTAGAGAATAAATAATAAACCATTACAATATATTGTGGAGATCATGGGTCTATACATAAAGTAAAATAATTGTACACAACCTCACATTAACCCAGTTACTGGTACTAGTCATGCCCCCATAAAAACTGATACAAAATAATCCAGCTGGAGTGAGGGAAAACTGATGAAAAAATAATTTCATTAATTATTACAAGCTCAAAAGTTGAGTCACAAGAAATTAAAATACACAAAGCACCCATGTTAGAGCAAAAGCTCAAAATTTTGCATCCATTTTACTGTTGGCTGTGCAACAAGATTTGTTTTGTTTTTTTAAATAGTATCAACTATTAATATCAAAATAATGGAAGTAACACATTTCATGAAGAAGAATGGGTAACCAATCATATCTTAGATTATACAACCATGGATGGAAGAAGTAACTGTTGCACTGACATTAGCATCACTGTAGTTTAAGTAAAGGTTACTTATGGCAGTATAAGAACTGGAAAAATAACTTTCTTAAGCACCATCTCAGTGACTTAACTGTCATAAGCTTTTTGACAACAAAAAGTCAACAATTATGTAAAACTCTACACATAAAATAGTTGATTTACTTTGTTATTTTAAAATGCTTATCAAATTTGAAAACTTCAATCCATATTCTGAACTAGTAAGGTGTAAAATTGCATTAAAATTTAATTTGCACCATGATTTCTCATGATGGTAGTAATAGCAAAAAATTAGTATGTCAAATAAAGTACTTCTATAATTTTCAACTGTATACCAACACAGGGTTTACTAGTCAACACACCAGAAGCAAGTTAAAATTTGGACATTTTTATACTTATACATATATATTGTATATATTATTTTTGAAAATTATTTTAAAATACTTTGTGCATACAATGATTTACATTTTAAAAGACTTGTAGTTAGTATCTGTAAGGAAAAACTTTTTCCTGCGTCTTAAGGAGACAATTGTGTTACAGTACAGCTTTCAAAACTTATTTTTGTCATGAATATTTGCTTTAAAATGTGTCGAAAAAACATTACAATATCAGGGCATCACAATATAGCACATTTACAATGTTACAAATAAGTTTTTACCATTTACAAAAACTTCTATAATGTTACTGTATAGAGATATATTTTGTTTTGTTTCCAAATGTTTAAAATAACTATTGAAGGAAATATGAATAAAATCTGTGTAGAAGGATTTGCTAATTAACAAACTTAAAAAGGGAATGTTTTACACAAGGCAAGGAAGAATGCGTTGCTCCTCTGAGTCAAATGCATATTATAACAGAATGATTAACAACCAATTTACAAAATATAGGTGGTAATAGATGGTTCACCAACTGCACCCAAATAAACAAAGATTGTAATTAAAACAGCTAAGAATTTAATATTATGGCAGAGAGAAGTTTGTATATTATCACCTGGAAAATTGGCAAATAATGGGAACATTATCATGAACATCTCATGAACATATCTATAACAAATGAGCAATCAGTTTGTGTTCAAATAAAGTTAAATTCAATACTGCAGGTGCACCTACTTTATAGCTTTTTAAAATTTGCCATCATCACTATTTCAAGAAACATCTTTATAAGGGTTAATAAGGTGGACCAAATGCAGTTGCCCCATGATATGGTATAGGAGCAGAGCCTGTGGGCAATGGATAACCTGGAGGATAAGCAGCTATGTGACCAACAGGATAGGGCCGAGCACTTGGGGCTGGTAGGGCACCAGACATAGGGGAAAAACTTGCTGCAATTAGTGGAGCTCCAGCTTGGACAGGATAAGGAGCAGCTGTTCGTGGACCTAATGTTGGGTAGCCCAATCCAGGATACTGTGCAGCAGGTATGTAGGCAAGAGTGGAAGAAGGAATACCTTGAAAGCTAGAATATGGTAGTGAGTGAAAAGCTGGTGAAATAGTATAACCATTAGGACTTGCATTGGACACTACTGCAAAAGCTTGAGGGGCAGCAGCATATCGTGGTGCAAGTCCAGGGGGGAGTCCTGGTTGGTTAGTTGGATATCCTGCAGGTGCATAGGGACTGGGTGCTGGCATATAAATTCCTGGCTTTTCTGAAGTTTGACCTGAGATATTTGTAGCACTACTGGCTGGTACGCCTGCATAATACATTGTAGTTTTGAATTGATGAGAACTGGAAGTAGTGCAAAAGAAAAGAATATTAACTTAATAAACCAGGCACAAATAAAAGAATTATCTTATGCATGGTTATGCAATACAATAGGGGTCATCCATAAATGATGTCATGCTTTTTTTGACGATTTTTACCTCCCCCCTCCCCTCCGTCGCAGGTTGTCACAAAAAGCCAGACCCCCCCCCCTAAAATGACGTCACACCTCAACCTACAACCCCCCTCAAAATTGCAGTTGAATTTTTTTAAAACATTGATATTTTTCTAAAAATCTTGTTTAAACTATTACAATTTATTAAAACAGTTAACTAAAATGCGAAATAACATCTAAAATTCGTTTTCTAACATTTCTTTTTTATAATGCAAAAGTGTCACGTCACAACATCTGAACCCCCCCCCCCCCCCTCATCACACATCGTCACAAAATTATGGACCCCCCTAAGAGTGTGACATCATTTATGGATGACCCCATAGGCTTTTACTAACTTACTCTATGATAGGCTACTTACTACTTATTTTAATAACATTATAAATATAAATAAATTATAGATACATGTACATTATATGATGATTATAGTTTGTATAGTATTAATTATTAATTAGTCTATTAGTATAGTTATACAGTATGAGTATACAAGTATACAGTGTATAGTGTATACTAACTAGTTACTAGACTCTATACTATACACTAGACTAGTACTAGTACAGTACTAAAAACTAAACTTAAAATTACTAAACGTAGATTAAGATTTATATCTAGAGTTGAGTAGATAGGCCTATCTAAATTAATTAATTATCTTTTTAGCTAGATCTAGTAGATCTATATCTAATAGATCTAGAATCTAGAATAGAATCAATAGATCTAATCTAGATCTAGATCTAGACATACTACTCTGAACTCTGCTAGATCTAGAATCTAGAGACAAAGCGGCAAATCATTTTAATGAACCCAGACGTTCTGGATGAACCTCGGGCATGGGCATTAAAATTCCTAATTGTAACAATTTGTAATTGTGACAAGTGACAAATAAAAGGAATGAGAAAACTTACCAAAAAACGGTAACCCAGCCCTTAATTTCAATGGGTTATTATGATTTAGATTAGTTTATTAAAGGAAATAATGGCGACATTATTTAGCGCAGCAGCAGTAAAATATTTGCTAGAGTTTGATTGGTCGGCAATTAAACAAAACATATCGTCAGGATGTGAAATCTTCTTTCAATCAAGCCCAGGCCTAGCTTGAGTAGGATCTAAACTCTAAGATCTAGATTCTAGATCTTACTTTAACTTAGACTTGTCTAGGTCAGCCTTAAAAAAATGATTGATTTTGATGAATACTAGATCTATATTGATTAAATCCACACTTTAATAAACAGTTTGACCTACAACGTTCCATTTTCGATTTATCTCCCCTACCCCAGTCTGATAATGATACTGATACTGATAGACAAGCAAAAAATGATGCGTCGTAAGTTATGACCGAATTTCAATTCATCCCCACTGCGCTGTCATAGAGACCGACCTATAATAAGATTATAGTTATAGTTTGTAGTTTACCTGCTAGTTGGAATGCTGGGTTAAAAGACCCCAATAACAGTATATTGACAACGCCATTAGACATTTTAAAAATACTTTTAATGAAAAATTGTATCAAACAGCCTCCACCATCTCCAAAGTGTGACCCCCCCCCCCCCACCCCTACCTTGCGCATCTTTATCAAAGTGCGACAGCTCCCACCTTGTACACCATCATAATGCAAAAGCCGCCCCTCCCTCCCCCACATGCGCACACACAGTGACGTAGCGAGGTCGGGCGTCACCCGCGTGGCACCTAATGTTGTTGTCCCCCCCCCCCCTCCGAAAGAGAAAAATTATATATATATATATACTAGCGTACCCGTCCCCGCGCGTTGCCGCGGGAATAGAAGGAAGTCCGACGAAATATATAAGAAGGGTTTAATCTATGCGTTACCAATCCTATATTTTTAGAAGCAAGACTGTTTTTTCTAAGTGAGTTATTTAAATGTAAACAATGCCTGCGCTTGGATCATAAATATCGGGACACGGGTATACCTACACTACAGCGTGAAAACCTTGAGTGTACATTAATAACTAACCGAAATAACCAGATAGAACACACTTTGGTGACCGCCCATGTGTCAGGGACGTAGAGGGGCGCTCTCAGGAGCCCCCCCCCCCCCGATATCACTAACGCATAGGCGCGGCGTACGACCCCTGGCTCCTTAAAATAGCATCCTGTTAACAATGATGCAGATTGCGTCATTCACTAAAGTGACACAAATTAACATGATTTGTTATTTAACACGTAAACAAATTATTTGACGCGTTTTAAACATCAGTGTGACTGATGCAATATGTTAGCGTTACTAATGGTCTATTATTAGATGCTCGATCTCAATAATTTCTCATTGGATTATCTAAAAATAGTTGCTAATTGCATCATTCGCAAAGTGACGAAACTGTTGGGATTTTTTACGGACAAAAAGAAACATACCAGTTAATAATCTAACATTGTTTAATTTTTCTGA